TAGCCCAGGCGTCTCGAACCCACAGCAATCCTCCTGCCTCAGCCTCCTGAGCGCTGAGATTACAGGCGTGCGCCACCACGCCCGGCCTGAACTTTCTACAATCTTTTTGAAAGAATGATGGAACGGTTACACAAAAACCTAGTTATCCAACATACCATCTCGACTATCCTCTAGATCCTTCTGCTTTTCTTCTCCTTCATCTGGATCATCTCCATCATCATCGTCATCATCATCATTGTATTGACCAAGAGCATTCACTAACTCCACAAAAATTTCATCGTTTATAAACCCACACTCTGAAATTCATCAAGCCAATGTTAGAAGCTCACAGGGGAAAGTATCAATGACAAAAGTTTGTCTTCCTGAATTTGGAAGAAACAACATGTTTATCAGCTAGAACTGTGTAACATTTTTAAAACCAGGATGGTTTTCAGGACTGGTCCTCTGCAAAGGTGGAAAGCAGACTATCTTCACAACTGTCCCTTCTCTGGCATCACACTTCCAGAGGTTTCCAGTGGCTGGCCAGCCCTCCAGAGACTGTGGCTCTGGCCTCACAAACACCCATGTCTCTGGGGCTGATCACTTGGGACTTGGCTTTCACAATGACAATGGACACCAGAGACCCAAAAACAGCCTCCTAAACACAAACCCTGGAGTAGCAATAAAGGATTATCATCAGGTGCTGTGGCAGCCTCACAGCAAAGGCATTTTTGCCCAGGAGGCTTTCTGATGCCAACCTGCCACATTACCAGGGCCCTAATCCTAATTCATTTCACTACCATTGAATCTTAAAATCTATACACACTCAATTTCTATGTAACTTACTACTTGTAACATTATAAATTATGTCATAATCAACTACGAAAATTATCAAGTGGTAAACAGGAACCTACTTAAAAAAACAGGGAAAGCACTGAAAATTTTAGTCTTATGAACCCAGATCTATCTTTCATAGCATCACAAAAATGTATCATTAAAAACAGCTTTTCATACCCCATGTTAATAAACTACAGTATTTGTCAATCTGTTAGCCCTTTCCTCAAGAGAATAAACATTCTGCTCACCTCGATCTCCATGGACTTTGCCATCATAATTTTTTATTAGTTCTTCAATGAAAGTGCCATCCTGGTCTAGGACTTCATCCCCCATGTAAGGAATGTTATGTAAAACAGTTTCATCTTCTACCTAAGAGTAAAAATAATATATACATACGTTTTTTAAAACCCACTTATTCTAATTAAAATATTCTTAAATATTCAATGTTAGATAACTAAAATTAATAATTTTTTTTCATAGAGTAGAAGACTTTAACCCAGTTCTCCAGACTTAAAATTCTAGTCAGACAGCAAACTGTGTTGACCAGGAAAAGTAAAAATGCTTAATCTAACATATTATATAATCGCTTCTCAGCCTTTTGGCTAAGATCGAGTATAGAATCTAACATATTATCAACTCCACCTCTACGAAAATATGTTGCTGGGGTCAGGGATTTAGCTCAGTGGTTCCACTGCCTGCCTATTCAGTAGTAGAGCAGGCACTTAACATAGTATCGGGGAGGCCCTGGGTTCCATTTTTCAGAGCAAACCACCAAAAAGAAAAAAGAAGTTAGGGGCTGGGCATTTAGCTCAGTGGTTCTGCCACCTGCCTCACAAGCACAAGGGCCCAAGTTCGATCCCCAGTACCAAAAATAAAAAATGTTGCTGATGACAACAGGACATCACTTTTAAAGCACATTCCTATTTCAGATGTTAAAATGGGAGAATACGGTTTATCAAAATCAAGTACAGCAGAGCCTAATAGTATGCACCTGACACCCCAGACTCGAGGAGGCTGAGGCAGGGGGACCACAAGCTCAAGCCTAGCCTAGACAACTCAGCAAGACACTATATAAAAATTAAAAGTGGGGATGTGGCTCCGTGTGAAGATGCTGGGTTCAATCTCTAGTGCTAGGGGAGGGGGAATCACAACTGTTAAATATCCATACCAAAAAATGACCGTAAGTAAAGATTTCTAAATTTCAGGGAGACAGAAGCACACAAGTGCAGACATGGTGGCTGAAATTTGCACACATGCAGAATGTTCTCAAAAAAAAAACAGGAGCCTTACCCATACATACCTGGCTAGCTGGTGGGGCAACCGGAAGCTGTCTATTGACTTGTTTCCCCACTTGCAGGAGGCCTGGCTTCCAAGACACCACTGCACATGACTGGCCCCCAGACATGAGGCTGGCCTTGTGGGGTGCTGGCCTTGCCTGACTGGTGCTCTGGCAGCCGCCCCTGAACCCTGGCACATGCCACAGGAGCACTCAGCGAGGAGCAGGCAGACATTGGGCCTGTCGGCCATGGCAGCGGTGCACAAAATCAGCTATTCTTCTGTCCCATGTGAGACTAAAGGGAGCAGTCAATCCTGATGGACTTCACCTTTCTGTACCTCATCTGAATGGAACCTGGCTATTGTATTAGCTGTGTACATGGAGCATTGGTTTACCAGCTGAGCCCAGGTGTTTTCCCGATTGGTACATGTTATCCTTTGGCACTGGAGCTATTCTGATTTGTGGAGCAGGCTATACTATTATAATGACATGAAGATCATGACTATGACAGAAAGGTAGTTTTATCTGGGAAAGGAACAGACAAGCAACTCTCAATTCTGCAGAATGCCATGGATGCATCACTTTTGAGTACCACATAAAGCAACAAGATCACTTAGTGATCTTGATCATTAACATTCAGCATGATCACTGATGCTCAGCGTGAGAAGTGTGGGTATCAGGGTACAACTGTTGGTGCAGGTGCAGTTCACTTTCTTTTTGCAGCATAAGTGTCCAAAGGGCAAGGTGTGTATTTTGACAATGAATCCAGAATTTGGAAGGTGAGGGCAAAAGAGTTAAAGGCTAGGAATGGAAGTGAGAAATACATCCTGAACCAAAAGATTGATGACCCCTCCCACTGAGATGTTCTTTAGAACCCTAACTTCTTTTTTCTCTTTTTTTGGTACCAGAGATAGAACTTGGGACTTTGCACTTGTGAGGCAAGTGGCAGAACCACTGAGCTAAATGCCCAGCCCCTAACTTCTTTTTTCTTTTTGGTAGTTGACTCTGAAAAATGGAACCCAGGGACTCCCTGATACTACTATGCTAAATGCCTGCTCTACTACTGAATAGGGAAATGATTTCTGACCAGAATGAACCTGTGCTATAGGTAACTGGGTGGCAAGCAAAAGGTTCCTCCAGTTCTGATCCCTCCCACACCTAAAATATGTCTGGGTCTCACTCAAGACTTGTCCAAACATGTTTTCCTTCTTTGTTCTCTGTACAGAACATGTTCCTTTTTTTCTCAGTAGTTTCTGTGACCCCTGCTTCCCGCCATAAGTGAGTTCTAGTATACCTTTCTATCCAATTGTCTAAGATGAATTTATCTACTTCAACCAATGAACTAATGTTAAGTGTCTTGCCATTGTGTTCTCACCCCCTTTTTCCAAATCTATGTAAACCCTGTTCACTGCCCAGATGGAACAGATCACTTTGAGGAGAATCAATCTGTTAGTGAAATAAATCTTCCTCCAACTTCCAAGGTGTGTTCTCGATTCTTCTCTGCCTGACTCTGTTATAGTACCTAGAGCTACAACACTGTGAGTCATACTTGCTACTATATTTTGGTATGTTGGCCAAGAAAATCGACTGCACTGATAAATTTTAAAACATCAGTTGAAGCCCTTGCAGAAGGAGCAGGGATTCCCGCTAGCACCCTGGTGGGAAGGGTACACAATCAGAGATTTCTGAGTCTCCTCAGAGGACTGGGCATGGACTGCTTTCCCTACTGCTTACAGCTCTCCCCCAGATCCAGAAGGAAAGAGGACGCAGATCTAGTTTAATCCAACTTAGTCCTCAGGTAAGGTAAGACCCCCAGGGCCACCCTAGTTATTTGTTATCTGTTTGATTCTGCTCCATCTGGGCAAAAGGAGCGTCTGGTTAACACTATAGGAGAATAAAATCCTCATTTGTTTTGGAATGAGGAAAAAAAAAGATTTCTAAATTTCATTTAATGGTCTAGTTGTTAAGACCTTCTGTGTAATACAATTTTGAGGGTGTAAAATAGAGTATCAATATTCTATTAAAGTTTATGCCAAAAGGACTTCTACATCTATAAAACAGATATCCTACAACACAGAAAACACTTCATACTGCTGCACTGGATAAGACATATACTAAAGTTACTATGCTGATACAGATGACTGAAGACTATTTACATTGAGGATCTGGAGAAAAAAGAAAAGGGTGCCATTCTGCAGAATAAAAGTAAAGTTCAGAGACGTTGGAGAACCGAAGAACATAAAGCAAGCTGACATTCTTGAGAGTAGAGGAAAAGGACATTAAATGAAGATACAGAGGAGACAGTTTTGGAGGATATGTTTAAAGAGATGATAGTTCTTAGTTGTTAAGAGGCCTCTGAGCAGGGTACTGGTTAAAACATGGCTTTACAAAGATAAAGCAGAACAGCCTGGCTATGACAGACTAGGGAAAAGATGTTGGCTATTTCAAACAGGGGATGGTACAGCCTATGACCATAATCAAGAAGAGCACAATGGACAGACCATGATACCCATACACAGGAAACCGAGGAGACAGGAAATCCTAGGTAACAAGGTCAGGACAATTGAAGTATTCATAAAGATAACAGGACTTTACACAAACAAGGACTAAGAAAACTTGGACAAAGTGGCAGAAGGAGAATATAAAATGCAAGTTGAACTGGGCATGGTGGTGCACACCTGTGATCTCAGCACTCGATCCAGCAAGTGCAAGGCCAGCCTGCAAGACTTAGTGAGTTCAAGGTCTGCCTGAGCTACACAGCAAGACCCTGTCTCAAAACACCAAAAAAATAAAATAAAATGCGCTGGAAGAAAGATTGCCTCTTTAATAAATGGTGCTGGAAAAACTGGCTTGCCATGTGCCAAAGATTGAAACTAGACCCATATTTTTCACCACGCATTAACCTAAAATCAAAATGGATCAAAGATCTAAATAATAAAACAGAAACACTAAATCAGCTGGAAGAGAGAATACGTAGCACGCTTGAGGACACAGAAGTAGGCAAAGACTTCATAAACAAAACCTAGAGTGCATAGGAAATACTACAAAGGATCAACAACTGAGACTTCATCTTATTAAAAAGCTTTTGCATGGCAAGAGAAACCACCAATAGAGTGAATGATAACCCAAAGTGTGGGAAAAATATCTTACCAGCTATTCCAATAAAGGACTATGACCTAAAATATATAAAGACTTGCCAGGCGTGGTGGCGCACGCCTGTTAACCCAGCACTCGGGATGCTGAGACAGGAGGATCACTGTGAGTTTGAGACCAGCCTGGCCTACATAGTGAGTTCCAGGTAAGTCTCAACTACATAGTGAGACCCTGTCTCAAAAAAGAAAAGAATAATAATAAATAAATAATATATAAAGACAAAAAACTAGGATTAGAGGTCCCATTTGATCCAGCCATCCCTCTGCTGGGTATCTTTCCAAAAGAATTAAAAGAATCATACCACAGTGATATATGTGCACCCATGTTTATAGGGGCACAGTTTGTAATAACTAAAACTTGTAAACAGCCCAAATGCCCATCAATTGGAGACTGGATAAACAAGATGTGGTTTTTCTATCAAATGGAGTTCTACTCGGCCATAAAGAATGAAAAATTAGAGTCATTTATAGCTAAATGGATGCACATTGAGGCCATACTCTTAAGTGAAATAAACAGGACACACGAGTAAATACTGAATAGTTTTTCTGGTGTGAAAAACTAAAACTGTAAATAAGGTTCAAATGGTATAAATGATAGTGTGAAACAGGAAGAAAATGACTAAAGGAGAAGGGGAAGTGTGAAGGGCAGGGAAAAGGAAATAAGGGAAAAGAAAAAATATTAAAAAAGGAAAAAACTGAAAAAAATATTAAAAAAGGGGAATGGGGAAAAAAAGTAAGAACCAAGATATACCATTAAAGGTACAAGATCTCAATGATGAATGTAACTGTATTATTTGCCTTAAATGTACCAATATACTTAATGGGGAAAAAAATAAATATAACTCAAAAACATCAGACATCCACCAAATTTAAAGACCCAGTCCAAAAAATAGGCACCTGAAATAAAGACACTTCTCAGATAAAGAATTAAAACAGCAAATAAATACATGAAAAAATGTTCAACATCACCAGTCATTCAAGAGATGCAAATTAAAACAACACTGAGAGGGCTGGTGATTTAACTCAATGGTGCCGCCAAGCATAAAGTCCAGAGTTCGATCCCCAGTACCACAAGAAGGAAGGGGAAAAAAAAAAAAAAAACAATGCTGAGATTCCATCTCACTCCAGAAAGGATGGTTGCTATCAAGAAATCAATCAACCAATAACTAATGCTGGCAGGGCTGTGAGGGAAAAGGAACCCTTCACCACTGTTGGTGGGAGGGTACACTGGTGCAACCCCTGTAGAAATCAGTGCGGAGATTTCTCAAAAAACTAAAATGAGAAGTTCCATTTGACACAACTATTCCTCTTGACATCTTCCCAAAAGAATTAGAAGCATTATACCACAGCAATATATACACACCCATGTTTATAGCAGCACAGTTTGTAATAGCTAAATCTTGGAAACAGGTCAAATGCCCATCGATGGACGAGTGGATAAAGAATATGTAGGGTTTTTTTTTTCTATAATGGAGTACTATTCTGCCAATAAAAAGGATGAGCTTCAGACATCTATAGCTAAAAGGATGAACCCTGAGACAATACTCTTAAATGAAATAAATCAGACACGTGTTTAAATACCACATTGTTTCTCTAGTGAGAAATAAGGACTGAGATATATAATGGATGTTGGGAAATGGGAAGAAAGTGTTCAAAAGGGGAGGGAAACAAGGGAGGAGGGAGGGAGGGAGGGAAAAAAGTGAAAATAGAAGGAAAAAAGAAACAAAGCTCTTGTACATAGGCAAGGGAGGGGGCTGAGGGAGGGAATGGGATAAAATAAAATTTATTTAAAAATAAATAAAATGGGCCAGTGATTTAGCTCAGTGGTTCCGCCACCTGCCTCACAAGTGCAATGTCCTGAGTTCGATCCCCAGTACCAAAAATAAATAAATAAAAATAAAAATAAATAAAATGCAAGTTGTGATCTTAATGCACTTACCTATTCAGATCCAAGCTTACACACACACTAGTTTTCTTTTCATCTCCCTTGCATGAATCCTGAGGAACTAGGAGCACTCCTTACTTGGAAGCCAAAACTAAATGACACATGTCTCTTCTGTCTCCCCACTGTTCGAGTCTAACCCTCCTTCTCCAAACTATATTTAAACAACAGAGCCTGCCTCATCTGCTGTGGTCAGAGACCAGCAAAAGCCAGGGGTAAGTCATAAGCAGTATTCACTGCAACTTTAAAAATTACATTCTTAAAAAAAATTACATTCTTTCTGAATTTCAGTCTCTAAAAATATGAAACCACCCCTGAGGTTTTGTAATGATTCTAAAAACTAAATGCTCTTTAATAAAGCTGTAAATATACAAATGTATTCAACTACAAAGTGTAATTGATGTTTACCTTTAACAGTCCACTGTAAAAAGTATTTAAAAAGTCACTAAAATCAAATTTAAAAGAAACAAACCAAAAAAACACTTAAGCCAGGCCTAGTGGTGCATGCATACAATCTCAGCATTCAGGAGACTGAGGCAGGAGGATCCCTACCAGTTTTGAGTCTAGGCTACACAGTTGAGTTGAAAGCCACCATGAACTAAATAGGGGAAATTCTAGTAAGCAGTTCTAGTAAGCAATTCTCAAAAGCAGGTTTACCAAGGACTTCCCTCGATATTTTATTAGCATTTTTACTTTACATATCAAGTGAATAGTAAAACTATTTTATTTTACAAGTCAAAAATGCATAACTGAAGCCCGACATAGTGGTGTACACCTATAATCTCAGCACTCGAGAGGCTGAGTCAAGCCAGGCATGGTGGCACATGCTTGTAATCCCAGCACTCGAGAGGCTGACAAAGAAGGAATGCTGAGAGTTCAAGGCCAGTCTGGGCTACAGAGTTTGAGGCCAGCATGAACTACACAGCAAGACCCTGTCTCAAAAACAAAAAGTACACATCTGAATTTCTCTTCAGTTCTACCTCCTTCATCCTACTTCTATAAAGTGTTATTTACCACCATTTTATTACCAAAACTGGCTGGTGCTATCCATGGAAACATGTTTGAGATTGTGTTTTGTTTAAGTCCTGAAAATATTCCCTAGTGCACATTATCACTTATTAACATGCTGCCTAAACATGCATTTATTTTGTTTTTCTGGTATCGGGGATCGAACTCATAACCTTGCGCTTTTGAGGCAGGCAAAGCACCACTGAGCTAAATCCCTGGCCCCTTGTTTTGTTTTTTGAGGCAGGGTCTCACTGTATAGTTCGGGCTGGCCTTAAATTCACTATGTCACCCAGGCTGGTCTCAAACTCACAGTGATCCTCGGGCCTCAGCCTCCCCAGAGCTGAGATTATAGGCATCCACCACCATGCCCAGCCCTAAAACTGTTTTAAATCAGTTCTCAATTATTAATAAAAAGGAAAAGTCAGGTTGAGTAAGAAACTGAGTAACCTCTTCAAGGACAAAAACTCTTAAGCTTCTTCTTTTAAGTGTACTTAATCCTAGGTATGGTCTTTAATACTTTGCTTTTGGAGAATGGAGAGAAAACAACACACCAAAGACTTTAAAATTGCCTATTTTTCCTACTTAACACAAGTTTTCAGCAATTATCAGTTATGACAGGCAAAAGACACATTACTTACATACCATAAAATTCTGCTGGAGGGGAGACCAAGAATACATTATAGGTACTGAAGCGACTGCATTTAGGGTCTTTAACGGGATGACTTGTGTTGGAAAATCCAAGTCACTGGTCACCGAACACTAAAACAGAGAAAATAAAATTGACTCTTATGAATAAAAGGGTGACCTTAAACTGTAGCCATCAAACTGTAAAGAGATGCTGCCTACTTAAGTAAGTTTGAAAAGATATTCACCTAAGACACTAAAATTCACAAAAATCAAAAGGGATTTTCTCTTTTCTCTCATTTTTAATAAGGGTGAAAAAAATCTTCAGACTTTGCAAGTTTTCCAAATCCTCTAACCCTTCTCATACTTACCACCAAGAATCCAACACTATGACTTTGTAGGCCTCAGCACTTGGATCTACCTCACCAGGCTTCACTATAAACTGCCCACCTCCCACTTCGATCTCAACAGCCCAAACACACAGAATAGCAATGTGCATACACTTAATCTTAATGTGAATGTCTGTTAGGTTAGCCTGCCTTATCTTCATCTTCCCTCTTAAAACATCGAGTGTTGTCTGCTGATATCCATGATACATAGATATGAACAGAAACAGAATCACAACCATGTAGATTCGCACCCACTGTGCACAGCTGTAACCCAGCACTCTTCATGCACCAGGGACTGTGCTCACACAGCACAGGCCTTATTGTAGTCCTTGTCACAACACTGTAAGATGGGCACAGTTCTTGGCCCGTTTTGCAGGTGAGAAAACTAAGGTAAACAACAAGTGACTTGTTCAGGGTCTTCAGATAAGGCCATTATTAAGCCCCAGAGTCTGACTCTGGCGCCCTGGCTCTTACCCACTACAACTACTGCCAGGAACCCAGACCTCCAAAATGTTTAAGTATACATGGCCCTTGAAATATTGTACAGTGGACCCTCAACTTACAACCATCTTGACATACGAACAACTTGGGTTACAACTGGAATTACTACTTACGAACAGTCTTGAATTACGATACAAAGGCTGGCTGCTTGTGCTTCCAGATGGTCTCAGATACAGAATTAACCCTTACAGAGCTCTGGAAGGAATATTACAACATCCTTTCCTGTGTGTGATTAACTGAGAAATCCTGGGCCAATGTCTCTCTAAGGACACTGAGATCTGCCTGTACACAGGAGAGAGACTTTGAAGGCTGTGTAGAGGAGCCTGAGCCTTCAATTGACCAACCTGAGTTAGTCAGCCCTTGGAACAAATCAAGTTCATAAGTCAAGGATCCACTGACTTTAGATGATACTGACTTCAAGGTGCATCATTTCTTCTGCGTCACTTAAAAAAAAATTGCCCATTAAACTATTACATGATGCTTTCTTACCACAGTGATTTTAAGAAGGATGTTGGTTTCAGGTGTTAACGTTTTTGACTCTATGATATATGGTAAAACTCTGCACCCAAATAACCAAAGGATTTTTATCCTGTGTAGGAATTCAGCTTTTCTTAGGTACAATTTCCCAATTATCAGCCCTCTAGAACCCTTTCAAAAATATCTTAGGCATATATTCATAAGTTACAATCAATTAAAATAGACCAAAAAGAACAAAAGTAAAACTGAAAAAAAAATCATATATCTTTATGTATACAAAAACATATATATTCATATTTAATGCTTAATTTTTATTTGGGATGACCTAACAATAGCAGGACTAGGACAGTGAGAACAGAGTGGAAGCCTCTGGCTTGCAGGCCACACCCAGCTCTCACCACTGCACCGGGAAAGTGGGTGAATCTCAATCATCACAGCCAATGCCACACACAATCCCTTCCTTAGAGGAGTGAAGGATTAAGTATAGAGTAGTTAGGAAGAATTGTGACAGTGACCATTAATTTGCTTCCGAAAAGGCAAAAAGATAATACTAGAAAGTACACAGTCCAAGTAAATAAGGTGTGAACCGTTTACTAACACGCTAGAACCCAAAAAGTCTTTCCCTTCTCTTTCTTTGGCCGCCAAAATGATCCTTCATCCATCCATCCAATAATTAATAATAACAGCAATTAACATTTATTGAGCACTTACTATGTTGGAGGCACTGTGCTAAGTACTAAGAGGCGTAATCTTAAACATTGCTCTTGAACAACCTTATAACATAGCTTTAGCACCACAATCCCATAAACAAGGAGACTGAGGTTTAGAGAACAGTCCTCCTACTCAGAAGGGCAATAAATTACAAAGCCAAAATTAAAGCCTAATGTGATAACCAAGAGCTTAACTAGTGTGCTGTGGTTCTTGCCCTTTAGCAGCTCATAGGGCAAAAACCACAATGATAGCCCTGCACTTTCTGTTGAAACAGACACATGATGATGTTGCAGGAGCAACTCTCCTGCCAACTTCCTCTTCTTATTCCTACTACTACCACATTTTCTTTCCTTCTTTCTACTTAACTGGGTAAATTTGGGAGTGAGGAATGGTTATAACTACTGAGTTAAATAAGTATTATATACCGTCCAGGGATTCTAAATACAAAATACACTAATGCCTTGGTTCACGAATGCTTGTTTGCAAACAATATGGTTCACAAACAAAACTGCTCGACAAAATTCTGCTTCTGTTCACAAACTCTACACTGTGTGACAGACAGGACCATAGCCATCTTCCCCACACAAAGACAAAACGCAGCCATCTTCCCATAAATCATAAAACAAATCAGGTTTGTAAGCTGAGGTACCACTGTAATTTTCATTTCTTAAATAGTTAAAGGTGTTGGTTTTTGGTTTATATTTGGTGGGATAAATTAACTGTGGCTTTAATTCTGCAGGTAAAGTACCTTTAAGCTTAGAGGGAAAAGGCTGCCTCTCCAACTCTGACTTACTCACCTGCTTTAACATCCCAATCCAAAGTCACACCTAAGGTCAGACAGTTCAGTGTTCTTTTCAACCACTAGACAGAAGGGAGATTAGCTCCGCTCATTTGTGTTTGCTCTGACAGTGCAGAAAATGCTCTGGATACCCTGAATGAAGCCAGCCGGGTTCTCCATCAACACAAAGAACTCAAGAGGCAAAGAAAGCAAGAAAGCACTGGCAGTGGAGCTGAGCACTACTTCCAATCCCACACCTCTGTCACCCTCCAGGACCTATCCTCTCAACTCTCAATTACCAAGGGACAGGAAAGAAACTCCCTGAGGGCAAGAGCAGCTGAGAGCTTCACCTGTCTTGAAGTAATACTCTGTAGCACAGTGTCTCAGAAAAAAGTAGGCACTCAAAAAATGTTTCTAGAATCAATAGGCTGCCATTTGCCGATTCTCCCTGGTGGAGACTTCAGTTTGGACTCACACAAAGCTGTGGTCAGCCCCTCACGATTAACCACACTGCTAACACACCCCTCTAATTTGAGATCAGACTTAAATACAGTGGCACTTGCTGGTAAAACAAGTTTGGGAATTCTTATATATTGACTTACAGGAAAATTATTCAAAAATCCCAGTTACTTATCAGCAACTTTCATTTTCTTTGAAAATGTATCATCCTTGACAGTTATATATTTTAAGTATCTTATCACTCAGAGTAGCATAAAGAATTTTACTTCCTGGGTGTACACAGAATTTTACCTGACTAGAGTCAAGTGTCCTGAACTCAGAAGTCACCAGGAGGCCTCTATCAGCAAATTAAATTCTCTAATTCTATTCCAACTTGAGGACCACACAAAGAAGTTAGTACAAGTGATTCAGCAACAATGGTAAAGAAAGGAAAAATTTGGTTATCAAGGATGCTACATTTTCAGAGAAACGCAGCTTACTGGTAAGAAACCAGGTTCCTATGAGGATGGAGAGACTTACATCAACCAGCTGGTACAATAGGCGACTGTGTGGCTGGACCACTGGGAGCTGGAGAGGGAAGTCAAGCCAAAAATAGTAGTTGGAGAAGTACACAACCAAACTGAGACTCTTGGCAGAAGGCTGGTTCCAAGTAAAAACTGTGTTATGGAAAACCGTAGAGGGAAGAGCAGGTGAGTGGCCTGCAGGGAAGGGAAAGAAATTAACACACCTACTATGTGCCAAGCACTGTGCTAGACTTTACCAAAGTTAATTTCTTTAAAATTCATAACTACCCTGCCAGATGGATATGATTCCTCATTGCAGGGAAGGACATCCCCAAGGACAATAGCTACAGCCATCCTGCCATGAACAGTCTTTAACAAAATGGTTAAGCCCAACTTCTGACCATCAAGTAAAATTATTCTTGGATACTGGCTGAACCACTGATGTCATCCTGGAGACACAGGAACTGCTGACATTGCCCAACATTCTTCAGCATTTCCACTCGAGCACAGTGAGGAAGGTACAGTCATCCCCCAGGACAGAAAGGGTAGGGAGAACACATCGGCTGCCGTCTATTGTACAGAAAGGCCAAAGATTTCTCCAACTACCTCATATTCTTTCTTCAAGATTTGAGGAAATATAACACACCCATACTTTTTAGCTAGCTCTTTCAGTAAAATGGCAGCATACATAATTTAAGTTGCAAGTGAAGGAAGTATTGTAGAAAAGTAAATGGGAGAGCCAGGGATTTAGCTCAGTGGCACCATGCCTGCTCACAAGTGCAAAGTTCTGAGTTCAATCCCTGATACTTAAAAAAATAAATAAAAAATAAGAAAAATAAATGGGAATAAGATAAATATTAAGTTTGGCTTAAATAAGCTCAATACTAGAAATGAATTCATAACCAGATTTAGAAAATAAGAGAAGGTAACTGAAGGAGATATTCTTGAAAAAAAATGTGTCTCAGACACTAGACACAAAATAAAAAAGGACAAATAATTTTTTTAAAAAATTAAGACCTTACACAGATGTATTTAATGAAAGTAAGTAATCAAGATGTTGGTGTTACGCAATAAGAGTGATTTATCCCAGATTGTAAATTACTTCAGCTTTTGCTGTTAAATAGTTCTGTCTTTCTTTTTTGGTACCAGGAATCAAACTCGGGACCCTGCACTTGCGAGGCAGGCAGCGGAACACCACTGAGCTAAATTCCCAGCCATTATTGTTAAATATTTATTTTATAAGCCACTCCAGATTGGAGGAAAAACCTCAACCCTGTGACTGCTTCCTAGTTCACTTTTATCTCGTGTCAGTGCTAACATTTCTTCCTGGAGGGACACGGCATTTCACACAGAATACAGAGCATATGAAGAACAAAATTTCAGAAGTGCAACCCTTTACCCCTGGCCTTGAGTGAAAAGGATCATAAACATACAAACCCAGGAAATCCTAGGTTAAAACTCAAGGTAGTTTGGGTCTAATGGGATGCTGCTGAGAGTAAATCATCCCTTCATTATCTGCAGTTCTGCTAAAAATTCCAGTTTTGCTAAAATGTTGGAGATCAGAAACATAGTAATAGTTATAGGACATAAGTTGGTAAAACTAAAAAACACTCAAAAGAGGGGCATGAAGCAGGAAGATTAAGCCACATTCACCCATAACATGTAAACTCGATTATCAAATTGAAGAATGGCCGTGTACACAAAATAAAAATTGCTGTCACTAAAAAAGAAACAAAGGCGGAGGGGAGGAGGAGTGAAGGGAGGGCAGGGACAAGGGGAAAAAATGAGAACCAAGACCTGTCATGTAAAGGTACAGAATCCCAATGATGAATGTATATGTACTGTATACTTAAAGTGTACCAGGAAACTCAATGAGGAAAAATAAATAAGAAACAAACAAACTAAGAAAAGTGAAGGGAGCAGGGACAAGGGGAAAAAATGAGAACCAAGACCTGTCATGTAAAGGTACAGAATCCCAATGATGAATGTAACTGTACTGTATACTTAAAGTGTACCAGGAAACTCAATGAGGAAAAATAAATAAGAAACAAACAAACTAAGAAATAGAACATGGTATATTACAAGAATTCATGGTTTTCATAAGCTGCTGCAGCAAAACTGTTTCAAAGCCTTGCTTAAATGGAAAGAAAAAGAAGCATCAGCTGCAAATGAACAGGCAGAACTGCCAGCCCTGTGACCAGAGAGCCACACGCAGTCCTTTACAGAAGATCCCCAGGCAGGTGGCCTGTTCCTGCTGATTTCTGCATATTTGTAACTGCCCTCAACTGTTCACTAATTAGTCAATAAGCAGGGCTAAAGCAAATCAACAGCTAAATAGAAGACAGTATACCCCTCTCTTTATGCCAAAGGAAAGAGCTAAATAATCAAATATACTCAGAAATATCAAAATTTAAAAATCTACAAAAAAAAACCTTGTAAGACTAATCCCAACACTCAGGAGGCTGAGGCAGGAGGATCACTGTGAGTTCAAGTGGGTTCCAAGTCAGTCTCAACTACAGAATGAGTCCCTGTCTCAAATAAAAATAAAAAGTGAACACATTTCCATACACAGATGTTGAAATAATCAAATATACTCAGAAATATCAAAATTTAAAAATCTACAAAAAAAAACCTTGTAAGACTAATCCCAACACTCAGGAGGCTGAGGCAGGAGGATCACTGTGAGTTCAAGTGGGTTCCAAGTCAGTCTCAACTACAGAATGAGTCCCTGTCTCAAATAAAAATAAAAAGTGAACACATTTCCATACACAGATGTTGAAAAAAGATGTACGCCACCATGCCTGGCTGTTATAGGCAGAATTTTAAATTTTTTAATGGGACATTTAGAAATATGTTAAGATTTTAAGCATGCATATTGCTTTGATCTAGCAATTCCATTACAGAAACTTTCCCTACAGAATTATTCAAAAGATGCAAATGAAGATGTTCACTACAACACTAATTACAAAAGTATAAAATAACCTAAACAGACAGGAGGATTGCTGTGAGTTCGAGACCAGCCTGGGCTACATACATAATGAGTTCCAGGTCAGTCTCAACTACATAGTGAGATCCTGTCTCAAAAAAAAAAAAGAATAGGGCAATAAACTAGAGCATATCTATAGCATCATCACTATGGAGTATGTTTGAATTGGTTTGGCTTTTTGCAAAACAGGTGATTGATACTAGGGCTTTACCCATGCTAGGCAATCACTCTACCATTCAGCCATACCTCCAGTATTTTTTTAAAGGAATGAAGATCTGAACAGAAGTTGTAAAGTGATGTCCCTGAATGGCAGATATGTTCTATCTAGTCAGTGATTTCTAAAAAAAAAATACTGTGTGTGTGTATAATTAACATGTTAGTACTTGTAGAAAAAAAATTTGGAAAAAAAAAAAAAAAAAAAAGGCCAGAAGGGTGGTCCTATAAGGACTTTTGTCTTGTTTTCTGTTTCTCTGCATTATTTTGTATCTCTTACAATAATCAATGTCCTCTTAACTGAATAGCAAAAGATAAGATTTTTATACAAGCTTCAATTAACTCAATAGATAACATGTTAGGTAATACAAAGCTGCCTCATCAGCTGTTACAGTAGCTTGCAAAATCTGCTGGCCCTCCCAAAATGTTACCCAGGCAATATTCTTTATTTCTTTTGGTACCGGGGATTGAACTCAGGTCCTTGCACTTGCAAGGCAGGCCACCAAACCACTGAGCTAAATCGCTGGCCCTGGCAATATTCTTTTATAAAACCTGTGAGAGAAGATAAAACAGAATCCTAAACACTGAACTAAAATCATTTCAATTACCAAGTTAAATTAACAAAAGTCATAGGTCTAATAAAATTTTTCATTTCCTCAGAGAACTTTTTAAAGAGTAAAGCAACTCTTAACATTCCAGAATAGACAAACATTTCTTTTGGTTTGGATTTGCTGTTTTTCAACCAGTGGTCAAAAAATTTTTAATATTTGAGGGTGAGACAAGATCTCTGCAATAATAAATTTAATAACTTATAAAACATGATATACAAACAGTGTTCTAGGAGAAAAACTGAAAATTAAAAGCAACTTCAGCTGGGCGTGGTGGAGTATGCCTGTAATCCCAGCACTCAGGAGGCTGAGGCAGGAGGATCGCTGTGAGTTCAAGACCAGCCTGAGCTACAAAGTGAGTTCCAGGTCAGTCTCAACTACATAGTGAGACCCTGTCTCAAAAAAAAAAAAAAAAAACCAAAAAACTTCAACTGGTTTACAAAGCTGCAAGAAACATTTTTGAAAAATTCAGTGTAAACTTAAAATACCTAGCCTTTCATTTAAAATCAAAACCCAATCAAAAATGTTAATTCACTTAATATATATTTCAACTCAATTATCATAAATGACCTTTTTTTTAGCTGACCTGTTGAAAATGAACAAAATGCTTCTTCCTTTCAAAAAATTTTTTAAAAAGGAAAATCCTATATGCAATCATTTAAGAAGAACATTACATCCATTTCAGCCTAAAGAATGCCAGAGAGCAAGCAAAAGCTGCAGCAACTGAAGTCTACAGGTGGGAAGAACTGACAGGACTGACCTCAGCCCCCACGCTGCAGAACACCAGCAAATGGTTTGTAGAGGCAAAGAGCCGCTGAGCTTGGAATTGTTGGAGGCACAAAAACTGATAGTTCTATTCAGTCCTATTCAGACTGAAGGTACCACAGACACTTGGGAACACCATCATTCATTTCAAAGTTGTGAGAAAAATGGCCTAGGCTCCCTGCCCTATTTGCTCAAAAGGCTCTTAACACGCTAAACCAATGGTTCCTATAACCCTGAAGCACACAAAGAGCAGAGTTCACTACTGTCTTGAAAGCTAAGTAAGAATGTAACCCAGGGCTGGGGAAGAGCTCCTTGAAGAGCGATTGTAGGGGTAAGCCTATATATTTGAGTAAAGAGCTAAAAAGTAAATTATACATTGTTTAGGATATGCTGTTTTCTTAGCAAATAGTAACTAAATCTCTATTTACAATTAACTGAGTGAAGTGCACTACCAAGTCAATATAAATAATGCAATCAAAATTTACCCATAAACCAGAGTTGCTCTTCTTCAAAAAAGAGTAAGTCCAAACTGCCAATGTATCAAAGAATTTACATATTCCATTTTGGTACTGGGGATTGAAGTCAGGTCCTTGTGCTTGCTTGCGAGGCAGGCGGCAGAACCACTGAGCTAAATTCCCAGCCCATATTCATTAACTTCATAATAACTCTCAAAAAGAATCAGTTGCTGATATTAAGTGATAAGCAATGAACCTACAATCACTTCAGATGTTACCAGGAGGACCAAGCTTATATATTAAAAATTTCAAAAGTTTGTAAGTTCTTCATAAATGTGAAGCCTATTGTGTCCATCCAATACTGATTCCTGGATCAGACATTCTGAAGAAGCCCCATGTTTAAATATACACAAAAATTCTCATTCTTTCCATTGGTAAATAAAAGAACAGACCCTTACAATGTGCATATTACATTCCCCTGGGAACCTAGAAATGCACACTAGGAAGATGCTTTTATTAAATTATTAATCATAGCCTTCTCCCCAAAAGATAGGCCTTATCTGAGGGAGTTTTTCTTTCACAGTTGAGAAAATTTTTATATTTAGTATCAATAAAGGTGTTGGGGCATAATTCCAGCTGCTTAGGAGGCTGAGTTAGGAGGATCCCAGGCCAGTGTGTGTTCTTTTTAAAAAAATTTTTTTTGCTACTAGGGATCAAACTCAGGTCCTTGTGCTTGGAGTCAGGCAGCAGCACTAATGAGCTAAATCTACTACCCCAGCTTGGACTATTCAATAAGACCCTGTCTTAATAGGTTAGGGATGTGGCTTAGTGGGAGAGTACTTAGCAGGCGCAAGGCCCTGGGTTCAATGTCCACTACCACCCCTCCTCAAAAAAATTAATGAAATATATTGTGAGTTTTAGCAAGAAATGGACAAATGTACAAAAAGAAATACACTAACACAAATTTCAAGAGTAACTCCTCCACCAGTTTCTTCATTAAAACCAGGAAGAAACAGATTGAAGAATATAACTGCTAATATGAAGATTCACACAACTTAGTTTTCACTGGTAAGACAAAGTAATGGCAGTCACCAATAAACAGCTACACATGGAATTATGGCATACATCCCTCGGCCTCCATATACTGCTTAATGACAGTTTAACTGGATGCTTCCTAAAAATACTATCTGAAGAGCAAAAGAAACAAATATCAAGCATAGCTGCTATCTTCAAGAAATCAGAAGTATTAAGAGCAGGGCTTGGGATTTGGCTCAGTGGTTCCGGCACTTGTGTCACAAGCACGAGTTTGATCCCCAGTACCAAAAAAATAAATAAATAAATAAATAAATTAAGAACAAAAAAAAGGGACAAAATCTGATTATAATTTCATGGATACTACATGGGTTCTGCAGTTTCAGTCACAAAACACAGGTGCCCCAGAGTATCCTGAAAACAACACACTCAGGAAAAGGCCTCAGCTCCAATGCAGAGCCCCAAAGGCTCTCAAATCACTATGACAACCCTTCATTAGTTGAAGGTAAACACTTGCCTTTCTTTTTTTTTCTTTCTTTTCTTTTTGAACCCAGGGCTTCAAGCATGCATGCTAAGCAAGCACTCTAGAACTGGGACATACAACCAGCCCTTTTTTGATACAGAATACAAGTTAGTCTTGAAGTTGTAATCCTCCTGCCTCAGCCTCCCTAGCAGATGAGATTAAAGGCGCACACCACCATGCCTGGCCTGCAAGCACATTCTTTCCCAAGACAATCTAGAAAAAACAATTCAAAACTCAACATAACTACTCCAACTACAGAAATAAATGTAAGACCTGAGTGAAGAATGGAAAATTACTGTAGATTCATCATGCTGCAGAGGATTTAAATGCAAGATGTAAGTATTTACAACGACTCACTTATAAAATTGAGCACCTAATTAAAACAATGCCATAATGACACTTCAAATGGTGAATGCTATAGACTTTCCATGTTTGGATCAACACTGCAGTGTGAAATTCTGCCAAACCTACCACTAGGAAAGTCTCTGCAAAACAAGCTCACTTTTATTTTTTATCTGGCTTGACCTACTTTGTATTAAAACTTTTAAAACATATAAAGGAAATTATATATAAAGAGAAATGCTTGAATCAAGTTAAAAATAAAAGAGAACACATTCTATGAAGTCGAAGGTTAGACTATATGATCACTAAAGTCCCTTTCTGCCCTGAAACTACATGATGTATTATGGTAACACCAAAAGGTTATCACTAAGTATAAAACCTCCTGTTGCCAAAGTCATTGATGAAGGCTTTAAAAGGGGATGGGAAATTAAACATGACTTACCTGAAGCAGAACCAGCTAGTAACTGGTTCAAAAAACTGATGACCTTGATTAAGACAGAGTTTTATGCGATAAAAAATTGAATTCCTAAAGCTAAGGATTACTGCCCTCTTTTTCCCCTAATATTCTGTGAACTTTTTTTTTCTTAATCTTAGTGAGGAACTGTGGAAGTAATAAAATTACAAAATAATACTGTTTTGTTAAAATAATAGTCTAGCCGGATATAGTAGTGCATGATGTAATCCCAGCACTTGAGAGACTGAGGCAGAAGGATTGTCTCAAGCAAGACTTTGTCTCAGAAAACAAACAAAGCCATGGTTACCTTAAAATTTCCAAAGAACTTTCAAAACAATTACCTGAAAGCCTCATCCTTATCTATTCCCAGGCACAGAAAAGAATGCCTCTCACATTTAGTACACTAATAAAAAGCCATGCACCTCCAATACCTAAGGCCTGACTTGTACTAGATAATGGAGAAGGTATCACCATTAACTTTAAGACAAGCTTAAAGAATGATCACCTGACAAAAGGTACAAATAGCCAGGAACCTTCCAAGCCATGAATTGCCATCAAGACCGGCATGAAATATGGTCAGTGTGGCATTGTGGACAAGTCTCTGAAGCCCACATCATCTTGACAGGCTTTATACAACTGCAAATCACTGCTTGTTTATTACAATAATGTTACTTTTTTAAATGGCTACTCACTGAAAAATTATTTTACTGTCTATCTCCCATGTTTGGATACTCAGAAAACAATCAATTACATTGTCTACTCTTAATTCCAAATCACTGTCCTTTTACTCTGCTTCAGCTTCCGTCAAATCTTCCTACACTACATCTTCCTATGTAACACAGGCACTAAACATTACCGCACAACCCAGAACCCTAAAGCTGATGGCTTCAGGTTATACTATTTTTTTTCTCATCCTTCTGGCAGGTGTTTTAATAGGATATTTAATTATAGATTCTACCACAGATGTATTGCCTTTCTTTGAAAACAGGAAACTCAGATTAGATCTACGTTATTCAGAAAATGTTACAGGAAAAGAAATTCCAATCTCTCAATATTGAATTAAAAAACTCCTATAAGAAGCCTTAGCATTTAACAAAATATTTTTAAAAATCCTTTCTAGTCTGTGAACACGAAGAAACATTTCTTACCACGTGACTAATTCATATTAAGGAATGAGGAAGACAACTGTGAGTCAAAAAGCCTTGCTCTAAATAAGTCTTAATGATAAGGACATTAAAGAGGATTTGAATAAAAAGTTGTCTTTTATTTTTTTAATCAACAGTCTTTAAAAATCTAGAAATGCATATTCTAAACACTTACTGTAGCCTAAGACAGCCATTGACAGTTGCATATTAAAAAGAAACACCAATTCAAAAGAGGGACATCCTAAGGTCAGTGACTTTCAATAACCAACCAACATTCCAATAAGCAAAAACTAAAATGTGCTGATAATTACTACAACACAGTATGTTAACCAACCTCCCTAGTCCCTCGCAATGAGCTCACAGAAGTCATGATGTGCACAGGCTGTATCCTTCGTTGTTTCCATTCTTGGTTTAAGATTTCTGTTCTTTCCAAAATTTTTTGACGATTAGAGCTAAACATACTCTGTAAAAAAAAAAGGGGGGGGGAGTGTTCATTGTTAGAAAATGCATAACATCTCTTAAGCAGATTAAAATCTGATGATCCCTCAAAAACACCAGGAAAAGTTCCTCAAAAGTATAGAGATTTTATAGTAGACTACAGTTTCCCATATTCAAATAATACAAAAACACAGTATTATTTTATTGTAAGTGGGAGGGGAACTAGAAATTTTTCCATCCTTGATTAACTGCGTATAAAAAAAAATCAAAATGACTTTAGAAAAATAAAATCATGAAACACATGACTTTGTATTTGGACCCTAAGTCTACACAAACCATATAAAGATAGATTAAAAAGACTGATTTCCAAATAGGCTGAATAATTCTTAGATTAAAATCTTTCCATCATCATTAATGCACCTAATACAGTGTTAATTAAGAAAGATAAAGGACTTCAGCTTCCAAGTTCTATTGACCATACTGTAAAGATGACCTTAGCTGAAAAAGTACTATTTCAAGTCAAAACTTATTTAACCGGGGGGGAGGGGATATCCTTAACTATATATGCATTTTTACAAAAGATAAAAGTATACCTTTACTTCATCAGCTCGTCTGAACCTCTTGAGCTGTCTCAGCCGCATGTACTCAGATTTTACACGCTTCCGCCAACAAACGGGTCCCTTCTCAGATTTCTTCCCCGTCTGGCCCATGATTATTCTAAAAGCAATGGTTTCACATTAAAATCACTAATCTAACCAGCTTAAATATAACCACCTGTCTCTTAAATCCCCAGCAAACTAACAACAAAGTAACACATTTTACATTGTTCACATTCACAGAAAGATGCTCTTTTGTTCTGCATGGTTAAATCCTTAAAACATTTCATTCTCACTTAATACAACTTTTTTTTTTGGTTTTTTGAGACAGGGTCTCACTACGTAGTTGAGACTGACCTGGAACTCAGTATGTAGCCCAGGCTTGTCTTGAACTCACAGCGATCTTCCTGCCTCAGCCTCCTGAGTGCTGGGATTACAGGCGTGTGCCACCATGCCCAGCTCTTAATACAACTTTTAAAAGGTATTTTTATGTATAAAAATTCCACATTCCTGCCAGGGATTTAGCTCAGTGGTTCCACTGCCTGCCTCACAAGTGCAAGGTCCTGAGTTCGATCCCTGGTACAAAAACAAACAAACAAACAAAAAAAAAACCTTGGATCAAAAATATTCAGGGGGCCCGGGGATTTAGTTCAGTGGTGCCATGCCTGACTCACAAGTGCAAGGTCCTAAATTCGATCCCCGGTATACCCACACACCCCCAAAAAATATGCAGGGGAAAAAAAGAGACTCCAGAAAATTCCAAAGAGCAAAACTAATTCCATTAAGCTACAAAATCAAGCGACGTGCTAGCTAGCAGACTCTGCTGTGGCCTTCACCCACTTCTCAGATCCTCAAGCCTTGTTTAAGCACTGTTAGCTTCAAGACTCATTTCTACACCATGTAGTTAGGTCCACAATAGCTGCCTCTGTGTTGTACTTGTACAGACTTTCTCTGGGTCATCATTCCCTACACAATACAGTATAACAACTATGTATACAGCACTTCCATTGTATTGGGTATTATAAGTAATCCAGACATGACTTCAAGTATACAAAGGATGTGCAACAAAATAAATACTTTGTTATTCTACGCTGTATATGGGACTTGAACATCCATGGACTTTGGTATCCAAGAGGGGGTTACTCCAATCAATCCCCCCACACCAAGGATCCACTATACTGAAAACGTAAAAATGAAAAAGTAAAATTTACATACAACACTAAAAGTAACACAGTGGGATATATAAGTGTACAAATTAAAGTACCCTCCTGCACAATTTTAACCATGGTGCTCTCCTTAAGCACTGCGATAGTCTATTTCTGCTTCTTATGCCACTTTTATTCACGTGAGGGATTTCTGCTAGCAAGAAGAGAGAGGAATACAGCAAATACCAAGTAAATTCTTCTGCCTTACTTTAGTTGCATGTACTAAGAACCAATTACGTTTGGCCAGGGATTTAATTCAGTAGTTCCTCTGCCTGCTTTACAAGCACAAGAACCCAAGTTTGATCCCCGGTACCAAAAAAAAGAACCAATTATGTTTAAATGTGGGACAGCCTACAATTCACACAGAAACCACCAGATGTCTAATGCACATTACAGAGTCCCCACCTCAAGTCTAAACAACTGTTCTCTTCTAAAGCATTTCCTTCTACAAGTATTAAAGTCATACTGTATTTTCAAAAGATTAGGATACTTCCCTGCCAGGCTGTGCAGAGCTTTATATGACACACTAACAATTTTTAATTTACCTTAAGAGCAATAGGAAGCCACAGAGGGTTTTAAATAAAAGAGTAGGGAGGGATAATTTACATTTTGAAAAGACCAAGCAGAGAGCAATATAGGAATATGAGGAGGGGTGAGGAGAGTATAAGAACTTTGCGGCTGGGTAGTATCTGAAAAGATGACAGTAGCTTTATACCACATGGTTGATGGAAAGTAAACTGAGTTCAAAAAGTTACTAACTTTGAATTCATACAGAAAACAGGTGCTATGCAATGAAGATATTTCACCGTAAGAATGCTACATTTTATGTGGGTTTTTTTGTTTTTGTTTTTTTAGACAGGGTCTCACTATGTAGTTGAGACTGATCTGGAACTCAATATGTAGCCCAGGCTGGTCTTGAACTCACAGCGATCTTCCTGCCTCAGCCTCCTGAGTGCTGGGATTACAGGCATGCACCACCATGCCTGGCTAAGAATGCTACATGTTAAAATACAAGTGATTCATTCCCTATGGAAAAAAAAGTGGAAGGGCTATCTATCTTATGCTTTCTTCTAAGCCATCACATGAAATGTCAAGAATAAGAAATGTGATCTTTGCTATGGTAACAGTAACTATATTTAAAAATGTAATGCTCAGGGCCAGGGATTTAGCCCAGTGGTCCAGGAGCCTGCTTCACAAGCACAAGGACCCAAGTTTGATCCCCAGTACCAAATCAATCAATCAATCAATCAAATAAAAAAATGTAAAAAAAAATGAGAAAACGAAAAAATGGAAATAAAGTATTTGTAAATAGGGAAGGAAGGGATGAAGGGGTGAAGGGAGGGCAAGATAAGGGGAAGAAATGAAAACCAAGACCTGTCATGTAAAGGTACAAGATCGTAATAATGAATGTAACTGTAATGTATACCTAAAATGTACCAACAAACTCAATGAGGAAAAAAATGTAATGCTCTGTCAGCCGTCAGGACACACACTTGTTATCCTAGCACTCTGAGAGGCTAAGGCAGCAGGATCACAAATTCTAGTCCAGGCTGGGCAACTTAGTGAGACTCTGTCTCAGTCATTCAGAGCTGGGGATATAGGCTAGTGTGAAGGCCCTAGATTCAACTCCCAGTACAAAAAAAAAAGTTAATAATCACCTCTTGATCATTACTTCAGAAATGGAGCATATTTATCACTTTCTTACATTAATAACAGCATTAATTTCACCCAATTAGAATACTATCTAATGGTAATATGTTTATTACTAAATCAAATATATATTAATAGACAGGAAACAAAAGTCAAATATTTTCAAAAGTTATTTAGAAGATTTTTCTGCTGGGGAATTCAAATATGGAAAGTGAGGAAGGAGACTTCTGGCTTGAATACTTAAGTACAGCTTCACTTATCTGTTGTATTAAAACCCTAGACATAGAGAACACTAACTGACAATTTAAAAGGAGAGAACCCTTGAGCTCACTGGGTTTCATTCTACAGAATACTCAACCACCAACCAGAGACAAAGAAAGCAGGTGGTGATTTATTCAGAGCTAAAAGAAAAGGGAAAAAAAAATCAGTTTTTATCTTAAGCATGTAATAAATATTATGAGCCAGCCAGTGAGTATACAAAGTTAAATAAAATGAATACACAAAGATGAACAAACCTTGCTTTTATGACATTTATATTCTACCTGAGGACAAGAAGGAAATGCTACATGTGAAATATATATATATGCAAAACTCTGTGGAGAGAAAAAAAACATGAGGAAGTGTAGAAGGATGGTAGCAAAGGTAACAACTGAACTCAACCTTTACAGCTGAGGAGCAATGGGCAAAGAAAAGAACAAAAAGGAATGTAAGGTATGACCAAGAGAAAACTGAGCAGATGGCAACTAAATGCAGAAGAATCTGGCTAGTACATCCCGTTAACAAGAACAAACCCATAGCTGGCCGTGGTAGCACACGCCTGTAATCCCAGCACTTGGGAGGCTGAGACAGGAGGATCGCTGTGAGTTCAAGATTAGCCTGGGCTACAAAGTGAGTTCCAGGTCAGTCTCAACTACATAGTGAGACTCTGTCTCAAAAGAAAAAAAGAAGAAACCCATAGAGTCAAAGTGACTCTAGACATTAAGAATGATCAGGAACAGGCAGGAATGTGAGAATTTGAAATAAAAACAGCTGAAAGAAATCACCAAGGTAAAACTACTCCAAATGAAAAGGATCCCAGGGTGACCCTGTTGGTGGAATGCTAAAGTAGAGCAAAGCTGAAGTTATTGTAACTCTAAAAAGTTCACCATTATTGGCCCAGGAACTAGTAAGAAATCAAATAAAAAGGGAATATCTGTAGGCTTATTATTAGCTCATAGGGTAATCAATTAGTCTATCTGCAGTCTTGACAAACTGTTGGTCCTTGAAGGCAACAACTACCTCTGCGCAATAATACTATAGGTAGTAGGAACATGTGTTTAATTTTTATTTGTATCATATTACTGCACTTTAGGATGCATATTTTATATGATGAATAGAAAGTGCATTAGTTAGCATTTCACATTTAAGTACTAGAACCCCTTGTCAGTTTTCTGGAATACATTCCATGTGTCTAACATTAGTAATAACATTTCTAATAAAGTATCTCATGACAAAAATCTAAAAGTGTTCTGAGTATCTTAAACAGACCCATAAATGGTAAAATTTAAGACACCAATTAGAAGGATGCTTTACATAAAACAAACTCCTACCCACTATATCACAGCATTTACAACATATTAACATCACATTTTCATGTATTCCATTCTACTCCAACCCTACTGTAAATTCTTCGATAGCAACAACCATTTTTATTGATTTGTAAAATCCCAGAGCCCAGTAACATAGTTAAAAACAAACAAAAAGAAAAAAAAGGTAAAAAGAAAAAAACAGATGTATTCACTTATATTGATAACCTGTATCTTATTAGCACATCATTTGAAAGGTTTAGCTGTACTACACACTAGAAAAGGAAGGGTAGTCTTTCCACACCTGAGCCAGTAAAATGAGGGCAACATGCTCCATTACCAAAAAACTCCCACGAAGAGATGAGTGTCAGGGACAGTTAGGCCCTATGGTTCAGCTGTTGCTACCAATGAGGAGGTGCTAAGCATAAAACCCAGGGTTTTGGGGATTTCTATTAAGCAAGCAGCTAATACCTTAAAGTTCTTCTCCAAACACCCAAAAGTTTGATTCCACATCAAATATGCATGTGGACACACCTTGCTCCACACCTGGTATAACAAGCCTTCCTCTCTGCCTCCTCCTCCCTAAAAAAGATAGACTGGGGGGGGTGGAATACATACACATACACACACACACACACACACACACACACACACACACACACACAGACTCAAACCAGCGATTTTTTTCTCAAGGGCACAGC